GTTTGTTGACTAAAACTGATGATCTGCTCTGTAAACCTACACTCAACTCACAATTAAAAAAATCTGAAGAAAGTCCAATATGAAGAGGAACAACTTACAGGTGATCAGAATTCCATAACAGAAAGAGACAATAAAAAGCACAGAGAAAATAATCTAAGAGCTGTTGCAAGAAAATGTCTGTAACATCATGAAAGATGAGAATATAAGCTTACAGGAAGCTGAACAAACCCCAAACAAGATGGATCCCAAAAGAAAATCACCAAGAAATATCATAATAAAACTTTCCAAAACCAAAGACACGGAAAGAGTCTTAATTGCAGCTCAGGGAAAATAAAAACTTACCTACAAAATAAAATGGGTAAGTATAAATTCTGGTTTCTCAGCAGAAGCCATGCTGACAAGAAGGCAATGAATGGGATGAGATATACAAAATTGAAAGAAAAAACTGACAACTAAGAATCATAAACCCAGCACAACTGTCCCTCAAATTCTATGGTGAAATTAGGATATTTCCTGATAAACAGATAGTAAAGAAATTTGTAATGACCAGACCAAGTTTACACAAAATTCTGATAACCAATGGCAAAAGACAACCTGAGAGTACCATATATGACAACACCACACAGAACTCAATTCAGATATAAAAACATTTAAAGTAAAACAAACCTGTAAGAATGAAAATAGGGAACCAGGTGTTTTGTTGTTGTTGTTGTTGTTTTTAAATATATATAACAAATTCAACTACAAAGCAAAAAGAGGGAATAATGTTGATATAGAACTTCCAAATGGCTAGGAAATCAAGTAGATCTCATGACAAAACATACTGTTTTAAATAGGGAAAAAATGTTAATTACAGGATAACCTCATAGAAATTCAATATATCTACACATCAAAAATTTTTAATAAAAGGAAACCCAGAAAGATTTAGTAAACTTTAATACAATATAAAAGGAGCTCTGGTAGTGTAGTGGTTACAGGTCAGGCTGCTAACCTCCAGGTCAGCAGTTCGAAACTACCAGCCATTCCATGGGAGAAAGATGAGGCTTTCTCCTCCTGTAAAGATTTATAGCCCCAGAAACCCTGTGCAGGGTCGCTATGAGTTGGAGTCTACTCCATGTCACATAACCACCACCACCATCAATACAACATAAAGAAAGAAAATGAAAAGAAAACCCACAAACAAAATGAGCTCAGAGCAGAAAATTATGTGGAACAAAGAAACCAGCAGCACCACAAAAAAACACAAAGCAAAATGACAGCAATCAATGCATACCTATTGATAATTACACTGAATGGAAATAGATTAAGTGGACCAGACAAAAGACAGTGAGAGCAGAATGAATAAGAAAATAGGATCCTTCAATATGCTGTCTACAATAGGAACATAAAAAAGATAGAGACAGCCTAAATGTCTACCAACAGAAGAATGGTTATACAAACTTTGGTACATACACACAATGGAATTCCATGCAATGTTGAAGAATAACAATGAAAATGGGGAACACCTCACAACATGGATGAACTTGGGGGACATTATGCTGAATGAAATTGTTGTTGTTAAGTGCTGTCGAGTCAGTTCAGACTCATAGCAGCCCTCTATAGGGTTTCCTAGGAGTGTGCTTCAAACTGACCTTGGAGTCCAGTGTTTATTCTTTGACGCCACACCAGGACTCCACAAAAGGACAAATATTGTATGAAACCAATGTTGCAAAAAGTTAAAATATGTTCTTAATAAAAGAAACAATTAATGATGGGCAGAGGAGGAGGAAGAAGGGAAAAATTATTCATGGGCTAGAGGGTAAACATATATTAATGTGGGTGACAGGGCAGGCAATATACAGCAAGAGGAACGTTAGCAGAGGAAAGATGAAGGTACTGGGAGACACAGTTAAAGTGAATAGAGCTAAATACTGTTAACTGTTGGTACGTGGATGGGATTGCAGTCACTGTAATGAAGCAAAGTATATGATTTGCTGAATGTAAAACTGATGGTCTGCTCTATAAACTTTCACTCAATTCACAATAAAGTTTTAAAAAAAACTACTAAAAGAATAGATTAGATGCATCGAACACTAATGACCAAAGACCAGATGAGTTGTGAGATGATATCATTAGACATGAAGAAACTAAAAGTTCATTTAAAAGACATGAAAGAAAGAAAGACCAAGATGGATGTCAGAAGAGAGTCTGAAACTTGCTCTTGAACATAGAGTAGCTAAAACAAATGAAAGAAATGATGAAGTAAAAAGCTAAGTAGATTTCAAAGGACAGCTTAAGAGGACAAACTATTATAATGTCTTCCCTAGAATTCTAAGGAGCCCTGGTTGAGCTGTAGGATAAGCACTGGATTGATAACTGCAATGTTGGAAGTTCAAATCCACCAGTTGCTCCACGGAGGAAAAATGAGGCTGTCTGTTCCCACAAAGATTTACAGTCTTAGAAACTCTGTAAAGAGTCACTACCAGGCAGAATCACCTAGATGACAGGGGATTTGTTTGTTATGGTTGTTTTTGCTTTTCTAAAAGAAGCCTAAGGAATCCTGGTTTGACATTTTAGGATCAGTATTGGACTGTTAAGCACAAGGTTGGCAGTTCAAACCCATCAGCTGCTCCTTGGAAACTCTACATGGGGTCAGTACTGACTTGAGGAGAAATGATAAAAACAGCAAGGAGTCCTAGTGGTGCTATGTGTTAGGCACCAGGCTTCTAACCACAAGGTTAGTGGTTCAAACCCACCAGCTGCTCTCTGAGATAAAGATGAAATTGTCTGCTCCTTTAAAGATTTATAGTCTCAGACACTCTAAGAAGTAATTCTATCTTGTCCTATATTGATTGGGTTGCTATGAGTTGGAGACCTGGTGTGGTATTATAGGATAAGCACTGGATTGCAAGGTTGGTTTGAACCACAAGGCTGTTGGTTAAAACTCACCAGTCACTCCTCAGAAACCCTATACAGGGATGCTATGAATCAGAACAGACTTGACAGCACTTAACAACAGCAGTGAGTCAGAATAGAATTCATTGCAGTGGGTTTTTTTGGGGCTTAGAGACTTAATTCCTACCTATCTTCCTCAGACCTCCCACCTCCCCCACCCCCCCACACCCGCTACTACTTTCTTAGATCTTTCACCCTCTAACCCACCCCTCCCAACCTGGACTCCTGTGGTGCCTTTCCCTTTAAATAGTGTATTTAACTGAGTAGCTCCTGTGTATATGTAGAGGGAGTGGACATGGAAGGTGGTAAACAACACAGAGGGTTGATAATTTAGAGGGGATTTTTTTTTTTTTTTTTTTTATGTTTTAAGCTTTGTTGTTGTTATGTGTCATCAAGTCGATTCCGACACATAGCAACCCTGTATAGGGTTTCTGAGGAGCAGTTGGTGAGCTTGAACTGCCAACCCTGAGGTTCAAACCAACCTTGCAGTCCAGAGCATTAACCGGCAGCAGAGGTAAGAGTCTTCAACTAACTTCCTCTCCCCTTTCAGGAACTTAGCCTAGTGTCAGGGCTCTGGGTGAATATGAAGAAAATCAGTGTCAAAGACTGTGATTGGCTTTGACTACTACATCTGCTGCTGAAGCTTTCCAGGAGTGTAGCTCTTCTTAAGCTCAGCTTAAGAAAACTCTTTGGGCAGGAAACTTTGTTTGCCCTAGCATACATCAATGAATCATGGCAACAATGAAAGAGATTGAGGCATGTTGACTCATGGACACTTTTGAGATGGAGGGTGGAAAATAGGGCTGCTGGTTTTTTAATACTAATACAAGGTCAGACTATATACAACCCTGATAGGCTCATCCATCTACCGTTCTATAGTGAGTCTATTTCTCTTCTCATCCTTTCATAATGTCATATGAGAAAGGACATTGGAAGCCTAGGAGTTCAGGCCTTTCTAATTATTACAGAAAGAGAACCTTACACAGAGAAAGGAAGCGACTTGCTCAAGGCCACACAGTGGTCAGAGAGTGAGTTAATGGCAAAGTCAAGAAAAGAAGTTAGGTGTTCTGATCCTCAACCTCCCCCTACCCTACCCCACTCCACACACTGAAATATTCTTTTCACTGCCTAAGCTGGTTCCCTTCACTATCCCAAAGGTGTCCTAACTCACAAAGAATATTGAGACCAGTGAATAGGAGAAAAATGGACCAGGACCAATCACTTTCCAACTACAACTCAGTTAAACCGGTGATTACTACAGTCTAGAGCAATGCCAGCCTGAGATTCGGTGACTTTTACAGGAAGCAGAAAAGAGAGCTGGCAGACATATAATGTGTTTATATTGGGGAGGAGATAAAAGATATAGGCACAGATTTGAGGCAGGTGGGAACAGGGATTTGGAGGAAGGAAAGTGAGTTGAGGGCAGATATGGAAAAAGGGATCCTAATTCTGATGAAAATGAGGACTAAACAAGGATAGGGAGGAAATATGGTGGAATAAGGGCTATGGAGTCCTACAGAAGAAATGGGTGAAAGGTTGGAGGACTTGTGGCACTTTAGCCAAGATAAGAGAAGTTTCAGGGGGGCCTGGGATCCCTCTCCAGATCTAAGGAGTTGTTTGAGACTAACCTGAGGGAACAGCGTGGTTATGGTTATGTACCCCAGGTGGAAGCCACATAGAAATGAGTTCAGATATATACAACGAGGAACTTTTCGAGAGTCAGGACAGTCATGAGTTCCCCATTAGTGGAAAGTTGCCATCAGTAGCAGAACGAGTGTCTGCCCGGGCGTGGCTCAGGGGCCTGCCCCATGTGGGGGTGGGGCTAGCTGGCCTCTAGGCAAGGGCTAGGGGTTGTAATGGGGGTGGGGAAGGAGCTGTGTGGACTGGGGGCGGGGATAGGAGTTACCCTTTTGGGCTGCTAAGGCCCAGTCTGCCCCCACATGTGGCCTGTGTGGCACAGCTGGGCAGGACTGGACTAGGTGGGGCGAGACCAACAGCCGAAGGGGAGGCGGGCGCGAGGGCGGGGAGCAGCGCGGAAGCCGGGCCACTTAAAGGAGCGGGCTGAGCGACTGGGCCTGCTCTTTCCTGGGTGGGGTTTATGAAGTCGTGGCCCGTTAGCAGGAAGCCGAGCAATCGCCCTGACGCTAGAGAGGCACCTAGTCCAAGTCTCCGGCCTGTGAGCCGTGTGTATTGCGTGCCCATCGCTGCCTGACATCTCCCAGCCAAACTTCACCAACTCCGCCGCTGTAACCACCACTATGCCCAAGACGGTAAGTGCTAGAGGTGGGTGCCGCTGGTCCTGAGGGTCTAGATGCCCTTCACCCACACCCCGCCCCATTGCCCTTTGCTAATGGCCAGAAGTTTGGACAGCCACAGAAATGACAGGACCTAAGCCAAGGTCCCTGGTAGGGAGGGAGGGGAGTGGGGTCCAAGTCTGGCTTGCCCGTGAGTGATTGGGTCTCTGAGCTACAAGTGTGGACTGGACAGTGCTGGCCTCTTTCTCAGGTTCCAGGTCCCTGATGCAGCAATGGGAAAACTTGGTTGGGGCCTGGGCGGGGTAGGGGAAGGAATGGACAGTGATCACAGAGGAGGGGACGTCCCTCAGCCCAAGAATTGGCCCTGACAAGGCTGCCGTGGTCCTAGAGAGATCTTGGGAATAACACAGGGAAAAAGAGAGGGAGCTCTCTGGGTAGATCCTGCACTCTAACCATTCCCATAGCCTTCCTAGGCAGTTCCAGATGCTTCCTATCTGGACAGAAGGAAAGAGTTGTGGAGGAATTCACAGAGGCTGCTCTCTTTTACCTAGAAGCGCCAATACTTCCCTAGGAACCAGTCTGAGAAGAGAACTGACCTACTTCCTGATGGAGAGGACTGGTTTTTTCCTCCTTCCCATCAGCCAAATCCTTTTACTTCATGCCTTCCTATCCTTTCCTAGCCCTTCAGCACCATCCTGTAATTGCTTTTTGGACATTCTGTCAGGTGTGAATTCTTGCCTGTGGGGCCACACCTTTTTAGAATTGTGGTTGCAGTTATGTGAGGAGCTGAAGCCTTCTGGGAGTGGGGCCTAAAGGGCCCGGATACCCGGCAGGGAGGGGTCAGGGCCCTGTGCTTGACTATTGAGGGCTTGCTTTTGTGCAAGTCATGCCAATGGCTGCTGGGGCCTTTCCCTGGCTCCAGCGGGCCTGGTGACCATCCTGGCTTGAGTCCTTTAGTTCAAACAGCTTGTTGGGCTGGCCTAGGCTATGTATAGGCCTCCTGACCCATCTCCTTAGCACTGCCAAAGCTTTATAGAGCATAAATAGTGGCTTGTAGACTTAGAAGGGCTGAGGTCTCCTGAGATTAAAAGAATGCAATATGGGCCTAGTTTTTTGTGTGTATGCTGAGCTTTAGTTGCCATGTTGCTTTGTTCCAGCTTCATTGTCAAGTCTTACTTGCCTTTCTTGCCCTTAAGCACCAAGCTTCTGGCAAGTACAAGGGAACTTCAAAAAGTTCATGGAAACATGGAATAGAGTCCTGGTGTGGTGCTGTAGGTTAATGTGCTGGACACAAAGTCATTTGAACCAGAAGGTGGGCAGTTCAAGCTCACCAGTCGCTCCTCAGAAACCCTATACGGGGTCACTATGGGTGGGAACCGACTAGATGGCACTTAACAACAGCAACAATAATTTTTCCATGAACTTTTGAAGCTCCCCCTTAAGTGTTTTCACTTTCTCCTTGTTTTAAATTGATGTTGGTTTTACTACTTGAGGCGTTCACACACATTCTTCCCAATACCCTCCCCACACAAATGAGAGAAAATAATTTTGTTTATCATTATTTTTACTATTTATTGTTATTGGAGTGAAGGCTTGCAGAGCAAATTGGTTTTCTATTGAACAATTCATACACATTTAGTTTTATGATATTCATTACAGTACCCACAATGTAACACCACTTTTTTTTCAACGTTTTATTGTGAATTGAGTGAAAGTTTACAGAGCAGATAAGCAGTTTTGCATTCAACAGATCATATACTTTGCTTCCTTACATGGTTACAATGGAAAAAATTCCCTTCATGTACCAACAGTTAACAGTATTTTCCTCTATTCACTTTATCTATTGCATTCCTCCCTGTGTCTCCTGCTAGCTTCATCTTTCCTATGTTGACCTCCCTCTTGTATACTGCCTGCCTTGTCACCTGGTAACAGCACTCTTCCAACTCCTTCCTGTGTTTTCCATTTCTATTCCTTTCTATCCATTTCTGCCTTCTGAGGTTTGTCTCAAGGCAATTGCCGTCCTTTTAATTTTATTTTTGTATGGTTGGTTATTTTAAGGACTTTATACCTCCCTGGTGTTATTGGTCAGTAAACCTGGCCCTTTTTTTTTTTTTTCTTAATGATTCTGAGTTTTGATAGATTGGCGGCATAAGAATTTTCCATGCTGTTTGGCTCAAAGAATGGTTAACTTTTAGGAGAAACAACTACTAAACGTGACTTAACAACCATAGAATCTGTACCTAAGAGACGATTGACCCCCCAGTTCTGATGCATTGATTGGGTTATTTATTTATTTTTTTGTCTCAAATATTTGTTTAATGAATGAATGAATGATTACTGATTGTAATTTATCACAAGTCAGAAAAGAACACCTCCCTTTTTTGCTTAAAATAGACAAAAATGTACAATATCTTTTAATTGTAATACTTTTCTTTGACCATTTTATTGTCACTTACTCTAACAAGTAGGTGGTGTTCTTCCCCCAAATAAGAAGTTAACATCCCAAATTTTTAAATAGCAAAGGGAGGTGACAGTTTTCACCTGTTCCCTCTAGTAAGCATTAAACCATTTCTAGTTTGGGCTGGCAGTGGTAAAATTTGAATACTTCTCCCTTTCTCTTATTTTACCATCCCCCCAGGACGTCTATGTTAAAGACTGGCTTATTTATTTATTTATTTGCCTTTTTTTTTTTTTTTTAAAGCTGTTATTGTGAATTGAGTGATAGTTTATATCGGAGAATTGATTGGGTTCTTGAAGTCTGAATCTCCCTTTCTTTCCCAAAGCAAAATTTCCCCTTCTTTCAGGCCCTTATGATCCTCAGATAAAAATAAATGGATAGTTTGGGCAAAGTGGCCTGCATTTGAATTTATGTGGTCTCTTGGTGAGAGTTGGGAGTGTCACAGATATGGCCTCTTACTTTTCTTATTCCTTAACCCAACGCCTAGACATCCAGGGACACACCCTAGTCCATTGCATACCAGCTAGTAATTTTAATGAAGGGAGAAAGAAAGTCCCTCTTTTTCATGCATTCTCCACATTCTGGTGTGTTGTAGGCTATTTCTGGAGTAAGACTGGTAGGGAAGTGTACTGCAAAACCAAACCCATTCATTCATATGAACCATGTTTGCACCCTAACCAGTGTTGGTTTCACTTTTATAGTCAATTCTCTCCCCTTCTCTGCCAACCCTCTCAAATTTGTTATAACATGCCTTCCTCTAGTCCACCCATTTGTGGACTCTGGCTGTCTGTTTCCTCAGTCTGCCTTAGTAGCCATAATGGAGAAGCTTATTAACTGACATCTATTCTTTATGGTGTCTCCATATGGTAAGCACGGAACTGCAAACCACATGGTCCATGGTTTGAGTCCACCAGTTGCTCCACAAGAGAAAGATGATGCTTTCTGATTCTGTAGATTGTTTTGATTTTTTGAGAAGTTCTTGAGTTTTTGGTTTTCCTCTTTTGTTGTTATTGATAAGTGCTGTTGGGTTGGTTCTGACTCACAATGACCCTGTGTAGTAGGGGTTTCTGAGGAGTGGCTGGTGAGCTTGAACCACTGGCTTTTTGGTTCAAACCTACCTTGCAGTCCAGAGCATTAAACCACAGTACCACCAGGACTCCTGTCCTCTTTAGGATTTATTAAATGTCATACTTGAAGTCTTTTTTTAGCTATCAAGTCAAATTCTCATTGTATAATGAGGAAACTGACACCCAGAATTAGGAAGAGATTGACCTAGAGCCACATAGCATGTTAGTCGCATAGCATGATAATGGGAGAGTTAGGGCTGGAATATAGATCTTAGTTAAGACATTTAGACTTAGTAAAAAGCCTCTTAAATTTGATGGGGTTTCAGGCCTAGCTTAACAGGTCAGGGGAAAAGTTTTCAAGTGGGAACATGCATGTAAGCAAGCATAGATTATTTGAAGTATTTGAAGACTTCTGTGTCTGCATTCGGCTAAATTTTAACAGGGGTTCTGTGGATTGTTTATTCTCCTGCCATTCCTTGCATTGCTTGAACCACTTGAGTGGCACTAAAATGGCACTTGGAGGATAGGAGGCAGAATCTCATACTGTTAACCACTGAACCAATCCTGCCTGCAGTCTTCAAGATGGGGCAAGAGATCAGGGGTGGAAGCTGTGCGTGAGAGAGAGACTTTGTATCCTGTATCTCCACTTATTTAGATCTCCAGCTCTGACCATGCCATGGAGACTCTAGTACTTCCCAGGAGGGTAAGTGTTTTGTTTTATCAGTGAAGCATGGTGGAAGATAGATGTCTGGGCTGAAGGGAGGTAGGGAAAGGGAACTAGCCATGTTTTCCTGCTTGAGACCAGGTCTTGTTGCCTTAAAATTCCTTATGGAAGAGAGTAAATTTTTCTCCTTATACATAACCACAAGGGCTGGACAACTTGTTTGAGATTGCATAAAGTTGGTAATAGCAAGTAAAACTTGGCTTTCATAATTTTTAAGATAGTGTTCTCCCACTGGACATGTCTGTCTTGGAAGAATGACTCTATGCAGGGGACATACAGACTTCCAGAGAATTGGCTCTGTGATGATTACATTAGCAAGATGGCTGCACTGGAGTTCCCCTAAATAACTTCTGCTGTAGGAGGTTTCAGTGAGTGAGTAGACTCAGTTCTGCTGGGACCTCAGAATGACTTTCTCTCTTCATGCTCTCTCCACTCAAATTCCCTGCTTTCTTGTCTTCCTTTTTAATGTTGAGCTCTGACCTCTTTATATTGTTACTCAGTGTCCCTACTTGATCTGTCCTTTGAGTTAGGAGAACATTATGACACTTGCCTTTCCAATTTAGTGACATTTACTGCTGTGCCAACCATTTCAATACATTTCACCCCCTCACCTTTAGGTGCTTATAGACCAAGTCTGCAACATGTATAAAATGAAAATCAAACCCACTTCCATTGGCATCAATTCTGATCCATAGCACCTTCATGTGTTATAAAGTAGAAGTGAGTTCAACAGAGTTTTTAATATATTTTTTTATTATTAATTTTT